AATTGATTTTTGAATAGTGATATGATGGGAAATGTGTGGTTGAAAAAGAAGAAAAAAGTATTGATGTGATGGAAAATATTATTTTATTGAAGAATGTGTGGTTGAAAATGAGAATTGATTTACTGTAGAAAATGAAAATTTTTACCAAACAGGCTCTAAATGTGCACGGCAATAACATCACACGAGGAGGTCAGGTTAATTATAAAACAAATTAATTTTATTATCGCAAATATGCTGCTAGATAATTAATAATGCGTATAGAATGCAACAACTTCGTGCAAACATAATGTCAATAGCAGAAAAGTCAACTCGTGTAGGTATTGAAACATTGTTTCATTTCCCAACCAAGACCTAGAGATTAAAGTAAATTATTAAAATTATATACATACATAAGAACGCAAGTACGGACAAATGTGAACACGATAGTCCCTCTTTGGTATAGATTAAAATCAAATTGTTAGTAAATTTTAATAAAAGTAAATGAAATATATGGTTGAAAAATTGTAGATCCCATAAAATATGTGGTTAAAATTAATTTTTAATTTTAATTTGAGATTTTAATTGAATTTTAATCCAAATCAGGGCTTATCTTTCCATATTCGTTCAGAATATTATATGATAGCTTACTTTTTCAAAATCTCATTATTTACTCCCCACGGATTTCATATAGCTAATTAAGCCCGTTAAAAACCGACTAAAATATAGATTTTAATTTAAGTCAAAGTTAACAATTAATTTTAACCACATATTTTATGGATCCGACAACTTTTCAACCACACATTTCATAAACTTCTATTAAAATTTATTAAAAATCTAATTTTAATCCTACCAAACATGAACTAAATAAAAATATGTAATTTGGCCCAATTTTAATTTTGTATTTTAGCTGATAAAATTTTATATTTTCCTGTTGACATTATTTATCATTTAGAAATTGTTAACCATATCCCACTTAAATGGCATGTCAGCCATTGACTATCAAATTATTCTGTCTAAAGCAATAAGCACATTTTGATATTTATTTTATTTGGATGCTGTGTTCCTATGATTGGCTCATTCTAAGATAGAAATATTCATTGTAGTAAATAAAGTTGAAAAGTCATTAGAAGAAAATATATATTTCTAGGGAACCTTTGATGTAAAACCAAATTTGATTGTGTCATTTTGTGTACAACTTTGACAATTCGACGTGAAATCAAATTCCATATTGTCGACGTAGAACATTTCAACAAAAGACATTTTCCGTAAACCTTATTTTCGGAGAACCCCAGCTAAGATGTGTACAAGGTGTGCAGTTTCCAAGAATGATAATATATAAGTAGCGATGTTAAAAAAGCCTTGCGGCCCGGGCTCAGCCCGAAAAAGTTCAAGTCGGGGCCGGGTTGTGGTTCGGTGGCATTGAGCCGAGCCCCATTTTGAGGGGTTGGCTAGAACCCGAGCTAACCCGAGCTCGTCACGAGCTCGTGTCACGGGTTGAGCTTAGCTATTTTTATTTTTTTTTAAGTTTAGATTTATTTTTTATATATATTAATATTTAGTTATTATTTATAATACGCATAAATTATATAAATTTTAAATACATTATAAAAAATTATAGATTTATAACGAATTTATATAAAAAAAAAAAAACGAGGGCCGAGCCTCATATTTTGGCCGAACTTTTGCTCTGCTCGACTCAAGCCAAAAAAAACTCGGACCTGTTTTGCTCGAGCCGAACCCAAGCTTTGAGTTTCGACTCGGCTCGTTGACATGGTTATGTATAAGCTATTTAATTTGTTTTGCACAAGCTCTGAATTGAGATTTTAAGCAAAACATAAAAATAGATAATTAGATAGTATACAACTATTTCAAAAATTATTCCCAAAAAAATACAGATTGATGACTTCTAAAGTCCTATTTATTTATACGAAATCGCTAATTCTTTCTATTTTTACTAGGAAATAACAAACTGACTTCCATAACATTGAGAGTAAACATAAATCCTCTTGAAATTAGGAAACAAACCTATTCTCTTCAAAATATAATTCCTTTTTTTATGTAAGAAAAAACAAAGTCACCATATAACATAACTTAATTAACTGAATATTGAAAATAACATAAGTTAGTTTGACTAAACTTCAAATTCTGAATACATCAGGCGAAAACAATTAACTTTTTGGCAACACAAATAACTTTAATTTTCAAATTTTTCTGATTAAAAAAATCATTGAGGTTTTCGAAATTTTATAAATTGGGTGTTTGGTGGGGATTAAAATTGGATTTTTAGTAGATTGTGATAGAAGTTTTTTAAATATGTGGTTGAAAAACTGTGAGATCCATGAAAAATGTGATTAATATTGATTGTTTAATTTTGATTTAGATTAAAATCTGATTTTAATCATAAACAAATTAAAGAATCTATAACTTCGTAATAGTTTTCAAGTAGCTGGACGATAAATAATGATTATTCTTAATTAATTTCAATGACAAAATCTAAAGAAATTAGCAACCTCATCGTGAGTTGTGTATGCATAGGTTGTATTCTCTTTTGAGTAATTCCCCCAAGTACAGGGCTCTTTCACAGGGGTCTTACAGGACCCCTCACTGTAACGTCGACCCCACCCCAATGTATTAAAAAAAAAAATTGTGGCCCCCGCCCCATGTGTCTGACCTGGTAGCCTCCTGTGAAACAGTGGCTTGTACTTGTAGCAGGCCTCTTCTCTTTTATATGCTTGCGTCAAAATCGACGTTTTAATATTTATAACTTTAAGACAAGGGAATGGTTAGATTTTTACATATTTTAAAATCAAATGACCACATGGAGAGCATTTAGTAGCGACAGAAAGAAATAAATAAGAAAATAAAAAACTTTGAATGAAGGATATTTTGTGGTCGGTTATGCTACATGTATCGAATTTTTATACCAAATCTTTTACACTTCACTCACATTAGGAGGTGGGGGCCACAAGCCAGAATTTTTAAATACACACGTGCGCGCATTGTGAAAGGGGGGACACCATTCTGTACATTTAGACTAATTCTTCTACGTTTAGGTGTGGGATTTGACACAAAGTCATATCTTGTTCATTAGTAGTAAAAAGTAGTGCAAAAAGAGGACGACATACCAACTTGCCTTCAAAATATGTGGCACGACTATGCAAAATAAAAAATTAAAAAGAAGAAAGAAAAAGTTAAACCAATGACAAAGAGCTAATAAAAAGAAAAAATGTATCATCCTTATGGCATTTAAAAATACAAAAATTCGAATTATACTTGGAATAAATGTGCTGGTACAGGATAATTTCACAGATTTTGGCAGCAACGAATCATAGGAAGACAGTTGTGCAAAACCTGTGAAATTTTCTGTACTTATAGCCTTGTTCTTATACTTGTATTTAAATTGAAAACCCTTGTTCTTATACTTGTATTTAAATTGAAAACCCGGGTTAATCTTTGGAAAAAATTGCATTTAAATCAAAAAGGGTGAATTAATTGTTACACCATTGCTTTTTCCGACCAAACTCATAGTCAAGTTACCGATCTTATTTAAGTATTGGGCAGCACAATCACCATACATTTTGTCTCCCTTGTGTATATAAATATGTTTCATTTCAAGTACACCTCCTTAATTGGCACAGACAAAAATGTAAAAATACACAGAGACATTATTGTTGAGTCAAACCTCAACCTCCTCACGTGCAACCACCCAGGGCGTGTTTAGATGTCCGAATTGGCCGCCGGCCGCCGGCTGGATAACATTTTCAGGGCTGAGAAGACTGTTTGTTCCATTTAAGCCTAACTTTTTATGAATGTTTCTATATTTTCAGTTTGAATTTTTGGAACACGATGAAACTGAAGATTAGAAGAGAAAAAAAGTTTAACATCGATTAAAAGCAGAAAAAACCCTAATAAGATAGTGAAAATGTTCACTAAGTTTCTGATTATAGTAGTGAGTAAAGCCTTTTTCTGATCTATTGGATTACAAGTTTCTGACTGGAAAATGAAGAAATGGAGGATGAGCAATGGCTGAATAAAATCAGTGAAAATATGTTATGTTATTATTTGAAATGTTGTTAAAGCTCGCCGTGCTAGGAGCGGAAGTGTACAAAGGTGGAGCTGAAGATGAGGAAGAGACAACAGAAGCTGGTGGAGGAGGAGGAGGAGTTGGTGGCGGTGGAGCAGCAGCAGCAGCAGTCGTAGAAGTGGTCGGAGTAGGAGGAGCTTGTGGCATAGGAGGAGCTTGTGGCAGCTCAGCCAAGGACACAGTTCCGGAGGGAAATAACGCTGCCACATTATTAGAAGCAATGATTGTATTTGCAGCTTCTCTATACTTATATCTCAGGATCTCAGCCCGTACAGCATTAAGTTCAGCTTGTAGAGTTTGAACCTGTTGCTGCAAAGCTGAAATTGCACCCATGCACCCATATACCGGATCTCTCATCCTCACGTTCGCTTCGAAAACCAAACTGTTGGCTGCATCAGCTCTTTGTGGCTCAGGCACCTCCTAAACACCCATAAAAAGAAAATATTCATTACAAAACTTAGAATTTTTGATCGACTTTATGAATCTTTTTTGTCGCTCTATTCTAATTCATTGCTATATCTAGTCGGGAAACACCCAAATAATAGAGGATAATTACCATGAGCATCTTGGAAACATTGCTTGCTCCAAAAACTTTATGAACAGCTGCAAATTTCTGAGGTTCATATGGTGAGAAATAAGGAGAAAAAGGGCACTCTTCAGCACATCTTCTTCTCAAAAGTTTACATGCTGCACAAGGAGTGACTGTATTTAAACTTCCTGGAGGACCCAACATATGTCTCCTTTCCATCACTGCATCTCTCTCTCTCTTGTCATCAAATTCTTTCCAATCTCATCAAATCCTTCCCTAAAAAAGAGTACGAGACAGAGTCAATTAAGAATAGTGAGATGAAAAGAAAAACATATATTTTTTTATTTATTCGTTTGCTTTTAGATTATGTTTACCTTAATCTGGACATCCGATTCTAAAAGGTGAATCTTGAACCCTCAAGAGGAGAGGAAAAGAACGAAAAAACGAAAAGGGAAAAGGGTGCTTAAAAGAAGGGCTTTCTCTTAACAGCAAAAACTAGGTAATGTTTTCTTCATAAGAAACAAACAAAATTATGATCAAATAAATCTTATTGTCTTGAGACACTTTAGGTTTGCTTTTAAGGTAGAGATTAATGATGAATCAGACAGATGGAGATCATTTATTTCAGAGTGAACACACACACACAGAGGGGGGTGGGGGTGGGGGCTTGCCCATGTGTGCCTTATTGCAAACATTGACTTTGGACAGCAACAAACCGACTTTGCTTCACACATTGAATAGCAAATGGTTTTACATTTTCAAGTTGTGAAGGCAATGTCATGTATTTCAAACTTTAAAGTTTACAAGTAATTGTAGATTTCATTTTCGTATGACTGACTATATTTGGATTTGTAGAATATAGATTATTACTACTGTTAGAGAGTCTTAGATACCTGTTTTCCGGTATCTTCGTGTTTGATAATTTGATTTAACAGAATATGTATCGATATTGACGAGAAAAAATGTGATTGCACTTTTTTTTTTCTCATCTTTCAAAGATGTGTCGCGCCATGTATCGTCTGCAAGGATTTTTTATCAAAAAATTCTGTACTTGCTTAATTTGATTGAGGGTCTCAGACTTTTTAAGTTCTCTCAATTCCAGCCACCGACTTCTTGTATTCATATATTCAAAGGTGGAAACTGATTCAAGTAGTGGCAAAGCACAACAAAAATACGAAAAGGAAACAGAATGGGACACCTGGTTCTTGGGATGTGGAGTCCCGCGTAGGGATATAAAGCAAATTAGCAGCTTCGTTTGAGAACACCAATCTTTTAATTCGTTTTTCGTTTGAACTTTGAACGGATCAAATTATTAATTTGAAATTAATTAATAAGCTTTGATATTGTATTAATTTTTTTATGCTTTCGAATAAAATTTATATTTGTTGGTGGTGGTTCAATTGTTTGTGCGTCGAAAACTTTTCTTATAGTATCATTATTGGTTCCCAATTTTATTTTATTAGGTAATATAACTTGTATATCTAATTGAATGTGTTACACATGGTCATCTCTTACAAGAGTACAACTCTCCTTTCTAAGGCAATGAATGTTCCACCCTAGTGGTGGACAATAAACATCATTAAAAAAAAAAAAAAAAATCAATTAATAGAATAACTCGTTTTGACAATACATTGGTAATCTAACGATGTTTGTTAGACTCGACTAGGAATAAGGTCATGATTTGTCATAGTCGATAATTCGTTTGTAAACAAGGTCAAAAAAATAACATTGTTTTGTTGGTCATCTTTGTACAAATGAAGAAATGAAATAACTTGTCAAATCTGGGGGTCCATTAAGGGTTATAAATAAACACTAAAAACCAAAAAATAAAAAATTGTACAAGCTTTGGTACTGAGGGGTTAGGTGTGGAAAATGAGTGAAATTAAGCCCATGTTTCGTAGAGAATAAAATCAAATTTTTAGTATATTTTTATAAAATTTGATGAAATGTGTGGTAGAAAAATTGTGGATCCCGTAAAATATGTGGTTAAAATTAATTATTAATTTTGATTTAATTAAAATCTGAATTTTAATTTGCACCAAATGGGGCTAAATTTGTTAATTAAAGCATATGAAGTGCATAAGCATTGGAATAATAAAAAATAATTAATCCTCTCAGATTCGTGCGTGGAACATGCTTTAAATGCTGGGCATGGATTAATCAATTTTTGTTTGACCCGTATTTGAAGGCTCATAACTCGCACCTTTGTACTATAAAAATTACAATCACAATCTCAAAAATAATCACTTATAAATACAAAATTTACTGAAAATATCACATGTTATTATATATAATTTCCTAAAATTACACGAAGACCTTAGTTCCAC